CCAAAAATTATTAATGCATTAGAAATTTAACTGAGCCCCTCGGGCTCCAAACCGATCATGCACATAAGTATAATAACCTCATACAAATCGCTTGTTGCCTCAATCATCAAAATAACATCTAAAATCACAATTCGTTCATCAAAACTGAAGATTTTCAAGCTTAATGCAGAATGTTCTAAGTTTTCACATAATGCGTCCAAATGCTCTCGGGTCACCCAGAGCCCCAACCAAACATACGTACAAGTTCAAAATTATTATACGAACCTACCGAAATCGTCAAAACACCGATCCGAGGTTATTTGCCAAAAATATTGATTGTGGTCAATTGTAGTCATTTTTAAAGTCAAAACTCCACTTTCTTTAAAAATTCAAATTTTAAGTTTTCGAAAATCGACACGGACCAAACACGCAAGTCATAAATCATCAAATAAAGTTATCAAAAGTCTCAAAACATAGAAAGAAAAGCTAGTACTCAAAACGACCGGTCGGATCGTTACATAATACTAGGACTTCTACTAATGCTCAAGATCATATTTCTTTTGTCAACCACCAATTTCTTAAAGTGCTTTTAATTTTCCAAAGGTTTTATCAATAACCTATTGTTTTGGTAAACAATTAGTTCTGGGACTGAAATAACTAATTGTTTAGCACTTAAACTATATTTTATTTCAATGAACGTCCAAGAAACCATCATTTGTATTAAAATAGGTGTAGTAGTTAGAATTCAAAGGCTATTTCATTCACAGCTGGTATACTTTTGCCAAAAATTTATAAGGGAATATTGATGGTGCTCATATATATTCTTTTTGTTTAAAATCTTCTTTGCAACTGAGTCACATACAATGATACAAATATATTATATTTTCTATAAATACACTCAAATTTGATTGTTTTCTATATTTTTCAATGCAAATATAATATTTTTTTTTAATTTTCGCCTATATTTATATATTCCGAAGGTTATTTTTTGTGGTAGATCCCTGTATTTTTTGATTTTTTGAATATAGCCAGATTAAATACAATATAAAAGCAACTGCGAATGAATACACTGAATTGAATACAACCGAATATCACTTTTTTGGTAATTTTTTATTGTTTAAATACAGCTGAATTCAATATAGTAAAATTGAATACTATGTAAAATAGTTAAGAATGAATATAGCCGAATTGAATACAATGTATATAGTCAAATTGAATAGTGCGGTATACACTTTATTTCTTAATTTTTTATTGTTTGAATATAACTAAATTCAATACAGTAAAATTGAATACAATGTAAAATATATAAGAATGAATAATCCGAATTGAATACAATGTATACAACCGAATTAATTACAACAATATACATCCCACGGCAAGTAATTATTAGCTACAGAATGTAATTAGCCAAATTATAACTATGCGCAACAATAAACCTCCTAACAATAGTCATTTCCGAAAGTTCACCTTTTTTTTCTTTTTCTTTATTTAGCATTGACCCGTAACCTTTGGCTGTCACGTACACATACAATAAAATAACGTGAACCACCGCGGATAAAAAAGATTTATCCGAGATTTCTATTTTACACCTAACCCTGCGGGGGAGGGGGGAGGGGGGAGAGGGGTCAAAGAAAACCCAGGACAAAACAAATGAAGCGATTTAATTTCTTAACCCCGAAAAAAAAAACATCTATCTATTTTATTATGTACCCGAAGGAACTAGGAAGTGTGGGCATACCGTGTTCGATAAAATTAGGAATAAAATTATTCGGGACATGGCACAGCTGAAATTTACTGAGGACATGACCCTTGCTAGAAGGGTGTGAATGTAGAAAATTAGTAGGTAGTCGAGTGTTTTCCTTTGCCTTCCTCAATTCAATAGCATAATTAGTGCTAGTATAATATCTTTTTATTCTTACATTGCTATTACTACCAATTGTTTAATTGTTATCTTGACTTCGATTTTCTTAATATTTTATTATTACTATTTGTTGCCTCTATTTCATTTCATTTTTTCTTTAATCAAGGGTCTGTCAGAAACAATCTTTCTGCTCTCTTAGAGTGGGATAAATCTGCATACATCCTATACTTCTTAGACTCCACTTGTGAAAATTTCCTGCTCTCCCATGTTTGTTGCAGTTGTTGTCGTTGCTTTTAATTTTCCAAAAGTTTAACCAATAGCCTATCAAGTATTTTGGAAAACAATTAATTCGAGGATTCGAATGATGAATTGTTTAGCACTTAAACTCTATTTTTATTTCAATAAACGTCCAAGAAACCATCATCTGTATGAAAGTAGTGGAAGTAGTTAGAATTCAAAGGCTATTTCAATCACAGCTGGTATTTTTTTTATTTTTGCCAAAAGTTTATAAGGGATTGATGGTGCTCATATTCTTTTTCTTTAAAACTTATCTTCCTCTCACAATTCAACAACTGTACTATATTGTAGCTCATAAATATATCACAAAAGCTATGAAATTTTCAGAACTTCAATATATAAACGAATCAAAACAAAAGGCGTGGACAACCTGCGAGTGATTTAACGATTTAATTTAACTATGAATGCGTAGTTATTTTTTTTAATAATTAATTAGCATTGACCGGTAATCTTTGGCTGCCACGTGCACATGCAATAAAATCACGTGAACCACGGCGGATAAAAAAGATTTATCCGAGATTTCTACTTTACACCAAACCCAGCAAAGGGGAAAAAAACAAAGAAAACCCAGGACAAAAAAATAAATAAAGAGATTTAATTTCTTAACCCCGAAAAAAACAGCATCTATCTATTTTATTATGTCGCCGAAGGAACTAGGAAGAAAGAAAAACATCTATCAAAAATGACAGTGATTCATCGACTCAGTTCGAGTCTAGGGTGTGTTTGGTACGAACGAAAATATTTTTCGATTTTTTTTATTTAATTTTTTTATGTTTGATTATGTTAAATATTTTGAAAAATATTTTTTTCATGAACTTAAATTGGAGGAAAATATTTTTCCTATCAAGAGAAGGGAAAATATTTTTCAAAACTCCTCTCAACCATTCTCACCCTATTCCCCATCCCCACCAACCAAATAGTGTCAGAAATGTACCGATGGCTTTCCGATGGGATCCATCGGTAATAACCAAGGGATTCTGTCGGTCGATTTTATCGAGGATAGATTTACCTACGTACCATTTACCAACGGACTTCCTTCGGGAAAGCCTTGTTACCGACGGACGTCCCTCGGTATTTTGCGTCGGTAAACAGTTGTTTTTTAGTGGGTATCCAACCCGCGCCCCACCCCCACCCTAAATAAAAATATTATTAATAGTACTTTTTTTTCATGTTATAGATAGATTTTTTTTTCATTTCAACAAATGAGTATATTTTTATTTTCATAATATAAAAAAGTTTTTTTTACCAAAAAGTACTTTATTTTCATAATGTAGAAAAATTATTTTTTCTATTTCAACAAAATGAGTATTTTCTTTTCATGATGTAGAAAAAGTATTTTCTTTTATTTCAATAAAATGAGTACTTTATTTTCATGTTATAGAAATAGTACTTTCTTTTTCAATAAAAAAAATATTTTCTTTTTAATTATGGAGCACAAATTTCAATGTTATTTCTACGTAAAAAAAATAAAGAAGCACATTAGTTCTTTTGGGTTTAAGTGAATTTTTAGAAGAATAATTAAATACTTGAATTAGAAAATAGGAGAGTAGCATGGGGATTTGGGGGAAGGGGGTGAGGAAAGTAGTATAAAAAAATATTTTTTACTCTCTAATCAAATACTAAAAAATATTTTTCGAAAAAAGTTTTCCACTCGCCAACCAAACAAAGAAAAATAAGTGATAAAATCACTTATTTTCCATGAAAACATTCATACCAAACACATCCTGTATCACATTTAATTTTCTGTCCACTTGTAATGGTTGGTTACTATATGTCCTTTTATTTGAAGAGATGATACCCTTCTAGTTCTCTACTAATTTGTTTGGTAAGTTTCTATTATCACACAACAATTTAATCCATTTTTATAACTAAATCAAAATTAAATTAATTGATATTTTTTCTAAAATCAAATTTTCATTACCAGAAACAACACAACTACTGTAGAAGTCTTATTTGGTAAAGAGAGAATTAATATATTTTAAAATTCATTAGTTTGAATCTCAAGTGCTAAAAGTAACAAATACTCTGGAACAAAGGGAGTAGCTTAATTTTATTTTGTTTACAATTCATATTTACGGGTATGTCCAGAAGATTTTGGAATATGTCAAATATTTAAGACATTCCAAAACAAAAAGTTCACTTTATTGTCTTGTTTTTTTATTCTGCTTTTAAATGGCTTTTTGGTACTGTCCCTTCTTGCTTATATTTTCATTAATGTGGTACTTATACTATCCTGAGCCGAGAATCTATTGGAAACAACTTTTCTATCCTCACAAGGTAGGGGTAAGGTTTGCGTACACACTACCCTACTCAAACCCCACGGTGTGGGATAATATTGGGTAGGTTGTTGTAGTATTCCAAAACAAAAAGTGTATAAAATGCTTGAAATTCTTTTACTGAAAATGCAAAGATAATTCAGTTAAAAATTAAAGAAAAGTTTCGATAATCGTTATTTGTAAAATCATGTAAAACATGGAAGAACGTTTTTTTTTTATTTTTTAGAAGTATCCTATGAATTTGGTTTGTTACTCAGCAGTCAGGAAGTAGGATTACTGATGGACTCATTAGAAGTAAATGTGCAAATTAGCTAAAAGCAAAAACTTAAATCATCTACTCTATATTGCAAATCTAATTAGCCATGATTCATATGGATGATTAATCCAAGATAACTCGAGCTATTCTCTAACATGTGATCATTGTAAACTGTAAAGTGCTACCATGTGTAATTGAGAAGAATTATGAAATAAAATAATACAATGGTACAAATATTTGTCTACTTCCAATTTAATATGGTCCCTTAATTAAAACTTGATATGATCTATATATATCAAACTAGTGTGCTGTTGATACCACTACTACTACCACATTCTAGAGAGAAGACCAGAAAAAATAGAAAAAAAAGAAAAGGAAAGAGAAAGCTGAAGAGCCATGGGAATAGCAGCTCAAGTCAACCAGTTTTGGTTCCATCTTTTCATCCTCTTCTTCTCTATCTCCATCTCCTCTATTTCCGGATCCGTAAGCCACCCTTACTAATTCTCACTCGAGTTAAATGATAAATAACTTGTTATAACTTTTACAGGAGTAATAGGTTAAACTACAAAATTTCTTTCATTTTTATACTCCTGACTCCTAGGAAATTAGAACCTGGAATAACCCCTATTGGTATCCAATCCATATTCTCATTCCTTTTTCTTTTTCTTTGTTTTTTGGAAATCTATAATTTTTAAATTTATCTGGGATGGAAACAAAATGCAGGAACCAGATTGTGTATACACAGTTTACGTCCGAACGAGTTCAATAATAAAGGGAGGAACCGATTCGATAATCAGTTTAACTCTCTACGATGCAAACGGATATGGTATTAGAATCAAGAACCTCGAGGCTTGGGGTGGGCTTATGGGCCCAAATTACGACTATTTCGAGAGAGGAAACTTGGACATTTTCAGTGGCCGAGGCCCATGTTTGACTGGGCCTGTCTGCAAAATGAACTTGACTTCCGACGGAACAGGCAAAGGCCACGGTTGGTACTGTAACTACGTCGAAGTCACGGTCACCGGAGTCCACAAAGAATGCAACCAACAGAATTTCCAAGTGGAGCAGTGGCTTGCAACTGATGCGTCTCCTTACGAGCTGACGGCCATTAGAGACAACTGTAAGAAGTCCAAGTCCGATGAGAAACTGTCCATCTCCGGCGAGAATTTGCCCGTTGCCGATACTGAATCCATTCCTGATGTCGCTGTAATTTAATTCATCATTTATTGGGCTTTATTGGGCCTGAGCCCATATTTTATAGATTTACGATTAGTGTGTGAATTTAATCAGGGGCAGAAATCAGGGTCAACGTTGCTCTGATGTTGTGGTTTGAGTGTAGTAGTATTGAGTATTAGAGAAGACAATGCAGTAAATATGTATGTTGAATAATACGGCCCCAATATATAATGTCATGAGTACGGACCCTTCAGAAAAATAAGAGCTTGTCTCTTCACTATTGCTTATGCTATGCTTTCACGTGCTATAAAATTATCACGACTACGTCTAGATTTTATGTGCCTTAACTAAAGACTGGTGAAGTGTAGATAATGGTTAGGAAGTTTAAGGTTTAAAATGCTGGCAAGCAGGGGGCGAAGTTATGTTGGCCAACCCTTTGTCGAAAAATTATACTACGTATAAAGTAAAATATTACTTGTTATTGATTAAAAATAGACTTTGAATACCCTTGCATAGCCCACGAGCAAAGGATGTTCAAAATTTGAACACCCTTACTGAATTTTCTGGTTTCGCCACTGCTGGCAAGGCATACGCTTGTGCCCAACATATATAACTACTCCCTCTGTTTCAAAAAGATTGGCATTTTTTCTTTATTAGTCCGTTTCAAAAAGGTTGACACCTTTCAATATTTCTTTAATAAGAAATATTTATAGTCATACAAATGCTACAACAGATTTCAGACCATAAGTTTAAAATTTTTTACAATGTTCTGCTCGCAACAATCCAATAAGTTCTCCGGGTGAAAAAACATTAGATATTCCATCTTCTGAAACCAACACTTTTGATGTTATTTGACGTACAATAATTTCTATATGCCTGTTATGAATCTGCACCCCCGGGAGCGATAAACATGTTGAATTTCATTAACCAAAGAGATTCGGCTTTGCGGGGTCGATCAGAGTACCCTTCCTCCTATTTGAGGCTTTTAGGCCTCCGATCAGTCTGGGGTTGACATGAGACCAGATTTTTTGGGGAATCCATTCTTTGCCTTATTGTCTGTGGTAAGTCAGTCTGCTTTGCCTTCTCGCTCGAATTATTTTCAAACCTCACAAATGCTATAGTTCATTTAATATTACATATCTCAAAAGGCTTTCCTTCTTTATTAAAATTTATGACAAGTCAAACTAAAACAATCTTTTTAAAAGGAATGGAGTATCTCTTTTCTAGTATGTGCCGAGTGAGCACCTTTGCTTATTTTATATGAACTTATTTGTTTATAAATCAGTTTTACTGTAGCATTTAAAACTGTTTTTTGGAACTTGTACAATCAGCTACGAATTGGGTTAGTTTGAGGTGTACTACTGTCAATCATACTATATTAATCATAATATATTATAAGTGTGTGTGAAAATTTTTAGTTAAATTATTTTATTAAAATATCCTTTAGAAACTGAATAACAGTATTGCCCTCTTAATTTACACTTTAAATTATCTCCTATTAAATACTTTATGCCTCTTTCTCCTTTCTTTCTATTCCTCCCTGCGAAATGTTTTAAAATATTACTCATAAATTAGGACTTTAATTAATTTACATTACTACATTGTTTTGTTTGTAGGTTATTTAAATATTTTGTAATTTTAATCCAGTTGGAAATTTATTATATATAATAGCTACTAGGGTAATAACCTAGTAGTATATTTGCTAAAAAAAAATAAAAAATTACGTTCCATCTAAATGTATGATACTTCATTTTGTATGAATTGGAAATTAAATTAGCTATTTAATTAGAATCCTATTAAATGGTTTATTATGGCTACCTTGAACGTGGGAATTGGACATTTAAACGACCAAAACGTGTTTACCTCCAACATCAACTTAAGCTACTGTTTACCCGAAAAACGGATAGAGTTGAATTTATACGTAGTTCTAAAGATACGTAGTATAACTTGATGCAAATCGGAAAGATAAGTAGAAATATATCGAATATTGACTGTAAAAAGGAATGAATACAAACCCAAATCGAGTAGAGAATGATTTATAAATGAACGAGATAAATCAATACCAAAAGCTCAAAAAAGAAAAATATTAGCTAGATGCTACGTAAATATCAATAATTTCTGAATATGAGAGTGTATGAATATATGAATGAATCTGTGAATGAATCAAATCCCCTCCTAAATCAGTGATAACCTACTCCTAATATAGTGAAGAAATCCTACTTTGGATATAATTAAAAATACATAGTGAGGATCCCATGATAGATTAATTAATAGGTTTTTCCTTGATTTCCGTCGATATTCTCTCCCTAAATGCGATTATAATGGCTCTTTTGTCCCTTGGCTCCATCCCGAACTCGGCCGCTCTCGATCGTGATTGGCCTCTATTCCTTCGACCTTTATCTGGGCTCGATCTGGGTCTCGGCTGATTTCGGTCTCTATTTGCTCGACCTTTATATGGGCTCGATATCGATCTTTGTTGATCTCGACCTTGGTCAGTTTCTAGGGCTCGAACTCAGTATCTCGACATCACTTCAAAGCTCAATAATGACGAACCTCGGTCCATCATGCCCCAATATCGATTAATCACACGAAGAGAAAACTCGATTTTGACCGTATACAGATAGTCCTCACGTTTCTCGAAAAAAATCTGGCGAGAAACGATATGATTTTTCAACCTCTGACTAGATACACACCGATGTCTACGTCGAGCATGATTGTGACGTATATGACAAATATTCCGTCAGTTCAGTTACCAAGGCATTAAATGTGCCTCAGTCGATGGTCGGCCACTGCTAATTTTGAACCGTCATTGTGAAATCTCTAAATAGCCTCCCTTCTTCATTATTTTAAACCTTTACCTTCAAATCTTCTCATTACAACCTTCAGAGTTCTTCGCCTCCTCCAAAGTTCTATATTTCCAGGTTTGAAAACTTCTTTGCTTGTTCTTCACCAAACACCAAAATATTTCCCATCTTCTTTATTCTTGAAAATTTAGATGTCCAAGATATCTAAAACCGTTCCTCAGAAAGAGGCCGCTTCCTCATCTCGGCCGGCCGGTGAGAAATTGGTGGTGGAGCCACGTCAGCATGAACTCGTTCCCAGGGGATGTGTTATCGATTCTGACTTTAAGGTTGAGAAGCCCTCATCGGTTGCTGGTCGATGTGAGCCAGTATCGAGATATATATGCTCGATACCAAAAGCCTTCTTGATTTGGTAAAGAAAGATTGTGGTTGGAAAAACAAAGAGGTTGTGATACCGGCACCGAAGGAAGCGATCACTACCCACGTGGAAGGGTACTTGAGTGTTTATACTTATCTTTTCACATTGGGTCCCCTCGATCCGGTCATCATCGACTTCTGCAAGAAATACCAAGTGACCCTCGGCCAAATAGATCCTTCTTTTTGGAGGATTGTAATACTGCTCCATTTTTTTTGTGAGCAAAATCGACAGGCTTCCCTTCACCCTCGACCACCTCGTAAGATTATATAGCCCTCGTCTTTACCGAGGTGGGCTGATAAGCCTCAATGCCGGGCTACCAAGGAGTTCACCTCGAGCATAGATGAAGACAAAGATCGGGGTTGGATGAGCCGGTTTTTTCGAGTGAAGACCTCGGATCTAATCTCGGCTGAGAGTATGCCATTTCCCGAAAAATGGAATATGAACCGTAAGTGTGATTCCGTTTTCAGTTTTTGTTGTTTTTACTTCATCTTTTCTTATCAGTATTTTTCTTGGCACAGCCTTTGCTTGGATGCCGGGTGCTGTCCCCCATCTCGAGAACTGGGTCAAGAAACTGGTTTCGACGACGACATATGCCGAGCGCGCATGGCGCGATTTATCAAAGGGCCGGTGGGAGGCTCGCACTCATGGTTAACCTTCTTCTTGGCTCACCGATTTGCTTATTGTTTAAGTGTTTTTTTTTTTCAGGCATAGGTTTTACTTACTCTTCTTTATTTGTCGGTCTCAGAAAAGATGCGGTTATGAAACCCCCATCAGGTGATGAAGAAGTTTTATCGCCTATCTCAAAACCGGAGAAGGTGATTAAGAGAAAAAGGGCCACGGACTCTGAGGGTCAAAAACCCAAAAAGAGAGTGGCTCGTAAACCCAAGGTAAACACAATACCTTTGACTATGGAGTCGGTCCTGAATTTAAGGGATGAAGAAGAAGAAGAAGAAGAAGAAGAAGAAGAAGAAGAAGAAGAAGAAGAAGAAGAAGAAGAAGAAGAAGAAGAAGAAGAAGAAGATGATTTCGGACTGTTGGCCCGTGCACGGGCTAGCACTGATACTCAAAATACTTCGATATCGGTGGGAGTTGACACTGCTCCGTCCAGGCTTGATGAGGTCGAGGAGGAGACTTCGACCCAAGTTACCGAGCAGATGGAGATCGATCATGTTTTACCTCGGGGTAAAGAGACCGTTGAAAAGACGGTAGATGTCGGTGCCCAAACCGAGCTTGAGGCTCCCCAAGATGGAGGCGGCGCTCAAAAAGACCTACTCGGGGCGATAGAGATCGGGGATTTCCCCTCTTTCCCTTTTTTTTCCCAATTGATGATACGTGACGCTCATGCTGTGGAGGCTTGTCACGGGGAAAGAGTTCATGGAAGGAAGGATCCTTTCCGAGGTTATTTTATCGGGGTAGAAGATGTCACCAGCCCGAGTGACTTGGAGGCCCCGGAGAAGAGCTCGAGCGAGGTGGGAGCGCCTTGACTTTTTAACGAAGCCCAACAGGCCCTGAATCGGGTAAGTTCATACTTTTTTTTGTTTTTGTTTTTGTTTTTTTTTTTGCCAATTTTCATGCTTGTGTTTTTCTTTCCTTGTATAATCCCTTCTTATTTTTGTAGGCTTCTATGCTTCATCATGAGGCATTTTTTCAATCCCGGGGGGAGCTGAGCCGGTATGAGGCCAAAATTCGTAAGCTTACAGAGGAGAGAGATGCCTTAAAGCTTCTCAATGAGCAGAGAGAAGTAGAAGTAAAAGGACTTCGGGCTGAGCTGGAAGCATCTCGGAAAGAACAAGCTGAGCTGGCTGAGCAGGTACAAAGAATCTTTGAATTTAATGATATTGATTCGGGAGTGATGGCTAATAATTCGGTCCCGCAGGTCAAGCAAAAGTTCAATGTGATTAGGCAGTTTCGTGCTGAAGTGGATGTAGTGAAATCGAAGGCCGAGGAATGGAAGAAGAATATGGATTACCTCGCCTCAGAAAAGAAGACTGCCCGAACTCAACTGGCTTCGGCTCAGGCCCAACTCCAAAGCTTGAAAGAGAAAGCCTTGGTGCAAGCCAAGAAAATCGAGGAGTTCCAGT